AATGCTAATCTACTTAGCTTAAACCTTTCGTATGTGGCTAATTAAATTTAGCGTTGTAAAAGTGTTATGTGATTAGCACGAAAGGGGGTTTGTTTAATTGTGTAATTAACTAATAATCCTAGTGTTAAGTAGCACTGTAATTATAAATTAAGCAACGAAAGGTTGTTGTGTGTTTATAATTTAAAGCAATGGAAGATTGCTTTGAGATCAGTGCTTTAAGTTGCAGCATTGATTCACGCTTTGTGTAGCATGTTTCGTGCTTCATTACTAAGCACTGATTCGTGCTTCACTTTTGGAAGCACTGATTCGAGTTTGTGGCCTTCGGTCAAAAACCGAAAGGATTTGTAAAGGCTAATCTGTTAGTTTCTACGAGATGTGTTAATGTGTAACACATGTTTATTCTTTATAAGAATAAAAGAGAAAAACCAAATTAATCGTGGATTAATGCGGTTACGAACGATCAATGTAGTGAATATGAAACACCTATTGGTGATTTTTGTGCAAGCATCGGTATCGTACTCGAGCGTACGGCACGGTATTCACCTCGATCGAACGTTGTTGCCGAACATAAATATCAAGACGTTGATAAGTTCGGGTCTATCTCAAAGTATGTGGGGTGAGACAATACTTTGGACAAGTAAGTACCTTTTAAATGACGTTACCCGCATGAAATTCTTACGAATTGTGAGTACGTAGGAGGTTTTCCTACTAATGCCTGAAATGTGGGGGTGTCTTGCCAAATGTGTGTATTGGTACTTAGTACACGAGTCCTACAGTTTGGATGTACATAAGAACACGATAAATTGAATCAAGAAATTCATCGTTCTTGGAATATGTATTTCTGTGAAGGTTCAATATCGGACCTAGCACGTTGAAAGGAACTTTCGGCGAAGCTATGGTTGAAGGGTATGAAAGAGAACCCGAGCTCAAAGCTAGACGTAGCAAGAGAGCTAGGATTGGAACAATTCTTTGGTCCAGATTTCTAATGTACATGCTAGAATGTGACGCGCATATTCTAACTTGTTTACTATAAAATAAATTGAATTTTCTGATATGATTGTTAGAAAACGAGCCTCGAACATATGTAGAAGTGGTGAATTCTACAAATGGACCAACACGAGAGAGGCTACCGAGAGTAAAGTAGATTCTATCTTAGAGAATCATACTTTGAACTGGTTGATCTTCTTTCGGGTTGTAAAACCTTTGGATCCTAACAGATCACTAGTCGGAAGATAAAACCGGTTGGTTATATTGAAGTAAAATGGTCGGACTTCTAATTGTAGATTACATGCAACGCGAGTGCCACGGTTACTTCGATATATATTCTCTTGTGATGAGAATGGAATCCATTAGTATGACACTTGCCATGGCTGTCTAACGAGATTTGGAAGTTCATCGAAATGGATGTGTCGCTTTCTTAATAGACATGGAACAACCTGGGGGTTTTAGTGGTTTCGCGCTATGGAAAGAAAGCGTGTAATTGGTGAGATCATTGTATTGTTCGAAACAATTGCCTTAGTGTTTGGCATGTGAGGTTTTGATCATGCTGTAATGACCAACGAGTCTGGTATAAACGAAAGTGAAAGTGTGTCTACGTAATGCGTACGATAGATAGTGATATCACTATTTGTTTATACACGATAAACTCATCGTGGGTAGTAACGATTGAATGATCAACTCTACCTTGAACATGGTAAATTCGAATTTGACATGAATGGCATGGGATTGACAGATTTAATCTTCAAGATTAAAATCGTGTGAAGACCGTATGGTCTTCTGGTAGGTCAATCTCATTAAGTTGATTGGATTAGAGTAACGTTTTCAATTCAACTCAAACAGATAAGAGATTACAATACTAAAGGAAGTGAGAAGCTGAAATAACTCCTATCTAAAAGGTAAGTCACAGGAGACTTATTCAACTAATACAAACTATATGATATAACAATAATATAAATAATAATAATACTAACACACCCCCTCAAGCTTACGGTGGATGAGAGACAACGTTGAGCTTGTCACAGAGCATTGCAAACCGAGACGCTGGTAGAGGTTTGGTGAACACACCTGCGAGCTGATCTCTAGTAGACACGAAATTAACAACAAAGTCGCCTGCCGCAACACGATCCCGAACAAAATGGTAATCAATTTCTACGTGTTTAGTCCTGGCGTGAAAAACCGGATTGGCGCACAAATACGTCGCACCCAAATTATCACACCACAAGGTAGCTGGTCCCCCACTGTACAAACCGATCTCACGAAGCAGCGAAACAATCCAAGTAACCTCTGCGGAGACGTCAGCTAAGGCCTTGTACTCAGCTTCAGTAGAAGAGCGGGCAACTGTACGCTATTTTAGGGAGAGCCAGGAAACCAGATTAGAGCCCAAGAAGACAGCATACCCACTAGTGCTCTTCCTGTCAATAGGGCAACCTGCCCAATCAGAGTCAGAGTAGGCATGAATGGCAGTGGAACTCGTAGCTGATAGACGTAACCCAAAGTCAACAGTGCCCTTTATGTACCGCAGGACCCGCTTCAATAGCCCCCAATGATCCACAGTCGGAGAGTGCATGAACTGACAAAGACGATTAACCGCATAAGATAAGTCAGGACGAGTGATGGTGAGATACTGAAGAGCCCCAACTATCCGCCGGTATTGTGTTGGATTGTCGAAAGGCTGTGTAGACGGTGTTACTGCTTTCGTCACAGCGGCTGGGGTAGCAAGCGGCTTACAGTCCGTCATTCCAGCTCGCTGAAGAAGATCACGCATGTACTTGCGCTGTGTCAAGAGAAGTCCGTTACTGGTGTGCAGAGTTTCAATGCCAAGGAAAAACCCCGGAGTTCCAAGATCACGGATTTTAAACACAGTCGAAAGTTGTCGAAGTAGAGTCTCAACCAAGTCGGTGTCATTGCCCATCATAATAATGTCGTCCACGTAAACTAGCAGAAACACTCGTGACTCACCCCGGGAGTAGTAAAACAGCGAGATATCTGTCTTGGATGAGGCGAAACCTGCCGAGACCAAGAAATCGTGAAGCCGTTTGAACCAAGCCCGTGGAGCTTGCTTTAGCCCGTAGAGAGAGCGCTGCAAGTGACATACATAGTCCGGATTTGTGGGGTCTTCATAACCGGGTGGTTGTTTCATGTATACGGTTTCCGCAAGGTGACCATTGAGAAAGGCATTGTGGACATCGAGTTGACGGAGAGTCCACCCTCGGGATACCGCGATGGAAAACAGCATGCGTACCGTCGTGGGTTTTACAACGGGACTGAAGGTGTCAAAAAAATCTTCCCCGGCGACTTGATTGAACCCTTTTGCAACGAGTCGTGCCTTATACCGTTCGACTGACCCATCCGCATGCCGTTTGGTGCGAAACACCCACTTGCACCCAATGATATTCATGTTCGGTGTAGCCGGGATGAGTTTCCATGTGTTATTGTGTAGCAACGCATTGAACTCTTGGTCCATGGCGTCACGCCACTCCGGATGCCCAACTGCTTGAGAATAGCACGTGGGATCCGTTGTAGCACTTAGGGCCTGGAATTGCTCATTTGTGCCACGGGTCATGCATCGTAAACGCATTACATGTCTCCTTTGTTGCAGACGAGCCCGTTTTCGGGCCCTTGGTGCGGCTGGAGCTGCTATAGCCAATGGTGGGTCCTCTTGTGCCAATGGAATAGGTTCCGGTATTGGCGGTGTAGGACTCGGTGGCATAGCTACAGGTATATTACATGGGACAATGGGCCCAGCGGCCCAAGGTGTCGGTGCCAGAGCCAATTGTGTTGGAGCTGCATTAGAACATTCTGCAAAAGGAAAGTTGGTTTCATCAAATCGGACGTGACGGCAAATAAAGATTTTCCCACTTGTTAGGTCCATGCACCTATAACCCCTAAAGGACGGTGGATAACCTAGGAAGACACAAGGAGCGGACCGGTACTCTATCTTGTGGCGATTGTAAGGCCTTAGATAGGGATAACACCGGCACCCGAAGACTCGTAAGAATGTGTATGGGGGAGACGCATTATGTAACTTTGTGTATGGACTCTTGTATTGTAAAGTAGCTGAGGGCATATAATTTATTAGGCAACTAGCCGTTTCAAAGGCATAGTCCCAATATTTTTGGGGTACAGACGCCTCAGCCATTAGGGCTAACCCGGTTTCAACTACATGCCGATTACGGCGTTCAACTCGGCCATTTTGCTCATGTGTATAGGCACATGACTGCCTATGAACAATACCTAAGGACTGGAATGTTTTGTGTAGTTTTAGGTACTCACCCCCTAAATCGGATTGAATTGATTTGATAGAACGGGAAAATTGCCGTTCTACCATGACACGAAAGCAGTCAAAAACTTTATAAATATCTGATTTTAGCCTTAACGGATAAAACCAGCAGAATCGGGAAAAGTCATCTACAAATAATAAGAAGTAACGATGACTAGAGGCAGAAATAATGGGAGCCGGGCCCCAAATATCAGTGTACAGCAGATATAATACATTGTGACTAGATGATAACACCCTATCTAATGGAAAACGGGATGCTTTCCCGAGATGACATGCCGTACACACGCCCGACGCCTTGGATTTATTTACGGTGACCGGAACATTTTGGAGTACACGACTTTTAACCTGAGCATGCGGATGACCCAACCTGCGATACCACACCCCTGGATTGGCCCGGGAACTTATGAAGGCAAAATGTGTTTGCGACATCGGGAGCTTATACAGACCACCCGAGACAGGTCCCCTAAGTAGAATCATTTTGGTGGCGGAATCCTTCACAACAAAATAATCCTTGTGAAATTCAAAAAAAAAACATCATTTTCATTAGCAAAACGATGTACAGATAAGAGGGGAACAGACAACTTAGGGATGTGTAAAATATTAGACAAGGACAGAGATTTAAGACGGGATGGAATAGACGCATGGCCAACGTGTGAGATAATCAAACCTGCCCCGTTCCCGACTCGCAAAACAGCACTTCCATTATATTCTTCAGACTGCGTTAGCATGGATGTCTCCGGCGTGGCATGCCCTTTACCCCTGTATCCGGATACCAGGACATGGCCGGGGCTGCCGCTACATCATCACCAGCGACAACAAGGTTCGCCTGCGCCGGAGGTTGCGTTGAATATCGTTTAAAACAATAAACAGCAGTGTGTCCATGGGATCTACATATTTGGCACCTTGGAGTACCACCTCTGCCGCGACCGGAGCCACCACGTCCACGGCCGTTCCGCCCTCTGTTCTGTCCGCCACGGGACTGTCCAGAACCACCGTCACCGGACTGGTGTCGACCATGTCCGGCGATCATAGCTGTCGGAGAACCCCCAATACCGCCATCGCCGCCAGCCGGAAAATCATCACTGATGATGAATTCTTGAGCCTGCAGGTAGTCCAGAAGCTGCGGTATGGAAACGGGTGTACCTGTTACAGTGAGTGAAGCTGCCAACGCCCGGAATTCCGGACGCAATCCCCTGAACACATACATGTTCTGCTCATCCAAAGACAACGGACGGCCGGCCAACGCCAATGATTCAACAAGGAGCTGCGCCTTGCCCAGAAATTCCGCCGTGGAACTGTTGCCCTGCCGAATCGATTGAAATTGACCCAGCAGATTTAAACAGCGTGCGCGTGTAGAAGAGCCCAGTGCCGCCCCGATCGACTGCCACACCTCTTGTGAAGTGTTCCTGCCAACAGCTAAATACATGACTTCATCAGATAGTGATGAAATCAAGAGAGACAAGATGGATTGGTCTTGTTTAATCCAAGCGTGATACGCAGGATTGGGGCCGGAGACCACCGTGGCACCCCCTGAACCAGATTCGCCGGAGGCCGGAGCTACATCCACGGTTGCCGGAGGGCATGGCGTGCTACCGTCAACAAACCCGAGAAGATCTTGCCCGCGTAGAAAAGGGATAAGTTGTGTCCTCCAGAACAAGAAGTTACGGGAGGTTAACTTGATGGAGACATAGTGATGGGCGGATGCAAGGTTGTTTTGGATGGTGGTCGGCGAGCCAGTGGTGGCTGCCGTGACTGTTCTTTCGGAAGAGTGAGAGGACATGATAATCGGAGGATGGGAGTAAAAGAAGGAGATTTTGGATCGATGGCTTAACTGATACCAGATTAGAGTAACGTTTTCAATTCAACTCAAACAGATAAGAGATTGCAATACTAAAGGAAGTGAGAAGCTGAAATAACTCCTATCTAAAAGGTAAGTCACAGGAGACTTATTCAACTAATACAAACTATATGATATAACAATAATATAAATAATAATAATACTAACAGATTGAATCCTTGTAAAGGAATGATAATCAAGTGGGTTGGACACTGTTAGATACTAACGTACAACTAGCCAATAATCACGAAGATTGTACTTCTCACGGAGAATACATTCAGATTATTGGTGGTTTAATTGTATCAAATGGGTTGTACTAGGCCGGATATTGCCTTAGCAATTAACGAACTCGGTAGACATACGAGTAACCCTGTTGTTACGCACTAGAAGGCAATAGTGGAAGTTATGAGATACTTATGTATGCTTGTGACTTTGGACTGCACTACGTGGGATATCTAGCCGTACTTGAAAAGTATAGCACGGATGTCAAGGGACACTAAGTCCATTAAAGGCTACGTGTTTACGTAGGCCAATGCAGTTGGTTAGATGGAAATTCTCGAAATGATTTGTGATAGCTAAGATCCGACGGGATCTAAGCTGAGAGCCTTACACTCGTGTCGCGAGCGAGTAGGCTGAATGGCTATGCCATTATTTCGAGAATGCTCCTAGTGGTAAACTCGTACCTCCAATTAATGTGCATTGCGATAGTCAAGCCAAAATTGGTTAAGTACAGAGTTTGAAGTGGAATGGTGAGTCTAGACTTATAAGTCGTAGACATAATACCATTAAACAATTTCTCACAACGGGGGTTATCTCTATTGACTACGTGATGTCAAAAGATAACGTAGCGGCCACTAACTCGCTAACCCAAGGGTAAGCAAATAGTTGTGGAGAAGTTGGAACGAGGAATGGGTCTAAAGCCCTTGGACTAAATGTTCTATAGTGGATACCCAACCTAGCTGACACCTAGGTTCAATGGGACAACTAAATTATGGAACGGAGCGTGTCACTGTGGGGGTCTCGGACTCCCTACCACTCCTCGTTAGAAACAGTGACTCCCGCACAAGGTCAGCATGTTAATGCTTTAATGATTCGAATGTCGGTTGATATACGTGAGTATGCGGGATACTCGAGCAAGAATCACCTATGTGAGAGAGAAGTGAGGGTCGCTTCAAAGGAGAATTGATGGGCACAATTCTTCACAAACTCTTGCAGAACCAGGAAGGTGACCCACGACCAAAATGGGCACACTCATGAGAACAGAGCATGGTTGGTAGGCTCCTGTGTAAGATATGTCATCGTCTACACAAACGGCAGTCGGTTCAAAGACATCACGTTCTACCGTACAGCCAGTAGAGTAAACATGTCTTCACAAGGGAAGGTTCAAAGCATATAGTGATCCCTACCTATCCTATGCAGGGATCGACCGTTGAACACAGTTTGTTTCCGATTTCAAAATACCCTGAAAATCAATTTTCATTCATGTGGGGGATTGTTGGAAAAATAGCATTAAAATGGCATTTTGAGTGATTATTTTGTGGTACAAATATATGTGGGATCCACTTTCGATTTGGGTCGGGTCAATATGGATTCGGGTTCTTCGTAGTAAGACGAAGAATTTGATATAATGTACGCTGAAAATGGGTAATAGGTGAATGAAAAATTGATTCTCAAAGTGAACCTATTTAGGAGAAGTCCAAAGTACGAAAGCTTAATAAATGGGAATTGAGTTTTAGCCCAATTCATGCCCCTGCTTTCGGTCCTGTACGAAAGTTAGCTTAAGTGTAGTTAAGCTTTGTTTTGAAAGCTTAAGTATGTTAATTAATCTTAAGAGCTTAATTAAGCTTTAAAATTGGGAATATAGCAATATGCATGGACGAAAGTTGCATGGACTTCAAAGCTTAAGTTTCGTGTTCCTTTCGTGGCTTTTAGATTCGGTGAGCACGAATCAATGTTATATGCATTGATTCGTGTTGCACCGTTTCGGTGCTTGCGGACCATTCGGGTGTGGTTTTTGGTCCCAATGTGTTAAACTTTTGGGTTTGTATGGACTTCTCGGTCACTCAGATATTTTTGAAACGAGTCATTATGGTCGGTACGAATTAATCAGATATTAAGTTCGTGACCGTTGATATTATTTCAATAATAAGTACGACTGTTTCAAACGTTATAATTCAATTTATTAAATTGAATTTATGTTGGTTAATGTGTCATGATGATGCTATTTAGTACCAATCTCCTATATAAAAATGTTGTGGGAGCAACCTTTTTGATAGTGTGATAGGGAAAAAAGTGAGAAACCACACAAGAACACACACAAAGAAATTATACTTTTCTTCTCAAAACTCTGCTCCTACTCCATTCTTGAAGCTGTGTTTTGCCCGTGCTCTTGTTCGCTGGGTTCGTTCGTTTGGGTGCTCAAACGTCGAACCGTTGTACGTTTTATCCTGGGAGACCTAGGTCACAACGCTCCTAGCACTCTTGGGAGGTGGCAAATAAGATTTTAAGGAAAGAAAGGCACTCGCCTAACTTGTACATTTCTTTCTTCCTTCTCCTTCTTTCTTGTTTTGGATTATGCTCTAAGCAAAAATTCTCTCCTTTGATATAAGTTTGGTTGGAATTATAATCTGTGGATTATAAGTTCCATTCTTTGGTTAATATATATTGGTATATCTTTTTCATAGATATATACGTATATATAACTTTTGGATCCATTATATATATATATATATATATATATTTGTGTGTATATATATATTTCGGATACATATATATCCAATAATATTTTATATATATTTTGTGTGTGTATATATATAAATATTATTTTAGGGATATTAAATCGATTTTGGTTCATTATCACCAACATATACTTCCTTGAAATATAATTTTTCCTAGATGTATAAATTTTATTAAATAAATAGAAGTAAATGAATAAAAACAATGGTCTAATTTGTTTTTTAAATTAATTAAATAATGAGACCTTAAATCAAACCCTCATACTCTATTATTGAAGGAAAAATGATATAGAGCATCCTTATTAGTTGGGGTTTTTTTATGAGTTATTTGTGGGCCCTAGTATCCACCTTATCCTCAACTATCTCACTCAATCACAAAAAAACTCTTCTCCACATCAGTTTTAAGTTATTTCTCAATTTTTTGTGGACTCACCATTTAAACCACTATATTTTAATCATTTCTTTATCTATTTTATTTATAAATTTATAATTAAAATAAACATACCTACATTTAATTAAAATGATAATCACAAACATTTAAATTAATTTTTGTTGTTGTTGTTTTTATTTTTATCATTTTAAATTTTAAAATTAATTAAAGAATTCAAAATTTAATTCAAAAAATATTAAATTTGGTATTTTATAAAAAATTTAAAACAATAAAAATAAACAAATTAAATGTTAAAAAAAAAAAAGTGAATTAAACAAAGCAGAAACGGAAAAATGGAAGAAAAAGAAAAAAATCCAACTAGAGGAGATCGAAAAAGCTTGATTCAAGCCCGAGCTCGCGTGCGCCGGTACCTGCGGGCACGGGCTGGCCTTGCGGGCTAAGTTATGCCTCACTTCGTGCATCTGTGACCACGAGACTCTCGGGTTGCACCACAGCACGCACGAGCACCCCAACGGTCTGAAACCCGAAAGTTCAGACTGTTGTACAGATTAAACTCATCTGTTACGGAATTAATACTGTTTTAAATCTGAGTTTAATCCTACTTAGTGGGTGACCGTTACAGGTGTTATACAATTGGTTTAATACCAACTAAAGGCCATGTTGAATGCTATCCCTTCCAACAGCTCTATATAAAGAGAGGTAGGACAGAAGCTTTTTAACATAGTACACAAACGAAGGAATTCCAGTACAGTTTTCAGCTTCAAAACTTCTGCTTCTACTCTCTTCTTTGGCTAACAGTGTTCATACTGTGCTTTGTTTGCTGGGTTCTTTGTTTAGGTGCTTAAACAAAGAATCGAAGCACGTTTTATCCTGGGAAACCTAGGCTACAACGCTCCTAGCACTTGTGGGAGGTAGCAAATAAGGTTTTAAGGAAAAGAACCTTGTGTTCGAACTCGTGCTAAACCTATACCCAAACACTCAATCTTTTCCTTCCTAGATTTTTTGTTTTCCCATATAATATTAATCTTTTCGTAGGATTATTATTTTTGGGATTTTCTCAACCATATTATCCAACAAGAGGTCTACTTAAAATATAACATATTCAAATACCTATTAACGTATGTAACACAGAGCTGGACGATAACATGTTTGAAAAATTTAAGACTTAGTTGATACTTTACAAATTTAAGGAAAATGGCTAGTCAAATCAGCCAGTGAACTAGTAGTAATAATACAATTAGACGCCTAAAAATTTTTCAATTAAACTCTTAAACTTGTGATAGTACCCTGTTGAAGGGACGATGATGAAGGCTTGGTTGTGAATATCTTTTTAAAATTTTTTAAAATATCAAAATTAATTTGTTGTTGTTGTTACGCTATATCTATTCTAAAAATACAGAACTCAACACCAAATCTCAGCATCAAGTTACATGATGGTAATGATAACCTACTAAAAGTGCTAATTGCACATTTTATTCGTGTAATGGACTAATTGAAATTAAAAAAAAAAAAAAAAAAAAAAAAAAAAAAAAAAAAAAAAAAACTTTGAAGAATTGTATTGTTGGTTTATTTAACCATTTTGCAATAAAATCAAAACAAAACAAAAAAAAAATTGCTTATTCTTTGTTGTTGTTGTTATTATTACTTGAGAGATCTGAAATTAACAAATTTTTTAAAATTTAAATTTGAAAGAATTGTACTGTTGGTCATCAAGCTTTAAGGTAATAGTAGATTTAATTCTTAAATTACAAGTGTCATCACTTTTAATCACTGAGTTGTCAATAAAGAGGCACTTATAGTCCTACCCTTAACATTTAATAAACTCTAAATCAGTCAGCATTTCCACTCCACAGGCCTTAAACCATACTCAACACCAACTGGAATTTTGATCACATATATCTGCCTAAAAATAGCAACAGCTTGTGTGATTGAAAGCAATACAAAAATCTGGAATCAATTACTTCTGCAAAACATGCTATCGCTGGTCCTGTCCAGCTTCGCCTCGCTTCTTCTGCAAGCATCTAATAGGTGTTATGTGTATATACGAAGCAAAAGATTTACTTCTTTCTCCTCCTCGTAACGTCAAGATTTTCCTTGGAATACCCAATGTATTTACAAGCCATGAAGCAGAGGGGTATGGTCCAATCAACTCGGTTTCATCATCATATCCAAAAATTCCTAGAAGCTTAACACTTTGGTCACGAAAAGCTACCTAATGGGCTATGAGTGAACTGATTTGAAGCCTTCTGTTAGAGCAACTACTTTGGCTGGCACCTTAGATTGCAGCTTTGATATACCTTTGCGGATATCCTGTAATTGGTAAATAAATCTTTTTATAAATTGCTACTATGGTGGCTGGGGGCCAGGGGAATAATAGCTGAGAAAAAAACTACGGGGCAATTATTTCTCTTTAGTAATTCATACCTCAAGAGTATAGCGTGGAGAAAAATGGGTTAGAACAACTGCTTTACTTCGAATCCATTTAGCATGCTCCATTATCTGCAAGATATGAGATGCAAAGGGAGATTTAATAACGGGCCTTGTAGTCCAATAATATTGGCTTGAGACTATGTACCAACAAGAAAGAAAGTTAAGAAAAAGATGATCTTTAAGCAAAATTAAACCTAATAAATTCGCTTATAATTACCTCAAACAGATGAGTATGACCATGCTCCCGGGCATGCTCAACACTGATATTTTCATCCAAGAAAGTTGCCTGTGGAAACATTTTTTTTATCCTCATCATTAAAATGGAACGTATCTGTAGGAGAAAGAAATTAATTGAACTTTTGATTATAATCACTCATTCATTCATCGAGTATATATTGTACCAGGCCCGGCCTTAGTACCAGAAAACGCAAGTTGCAGATCAGTGTAATGACGTTGTCCACTTCCTACATCGGTTGACTTGTTTCCCTTTTAGCTGATATAATTGGCCTACTTTGCAGAAGGGTAAAGTTTACAAGTCTTCCTCCCAGTAGAATAAATTTTTGGAACCTAGCCCGCACGGGCTTAGCTCAATGGTTTAGTAGGCAGTATTTGGAAGAAGAGACCAAGGTTCGAACCTCGGCGGCGGCAGTGTGTGGATTATACCCAAAGTGGGCAGATCCCTTGCACCGGCATTTGGCCCTGTCTGCTGAGCCATTGAGTCATTGTGATTTACATCCTCCCAAATGCTCTGTCGGGCCGGGGTGTGGGGGGGCCTAGGGGTTGGGGATTCATCCTTTTGGGAGAAGAAATTTTTGGAACCTAGTTACATTTGACCAAATATATAATGCATCTAGACATTCATTTCTAGAACTTCATGGCTAGACTATGCCATCTACCATTTATACAGGGTTTGATTTACTTATAAAAAGGTAGGCCAAGCAAAACAATTTACCTCAGTGATAAGAATTTTTGCCCTCAAGGCATCAGCATTTTTGGGGTCAATATAAAAATCTGATGCTGTATCTCCGGTGAAGGCTACCTCAGGGCACAGTATAGTATCTGTTATCTAAAAAACAAATATTTGCATTACATACTTGTTAAATCACCATTAATATCAGGACTCGAAAGAATTACAAACCTGAGTTCCGGATTTCTTCAGTTTCTCGATTTGTCTTCCCTGAAGATGCATGTATTGCTTCTTCAGCTTCTTCCGAAGAGAGTAAATGACATAACCCTGTGTACATATGAAAGTAATCTCATTTTGCAAACAACAAAAGATGCAAGAGTTCCAATTCGAAGACATTAATAAGAAAACACAGAAATAATCGAGTACTAATTTGTTTATCAAAACTTAAGTTCTTAAAAAAATCATAAAACTGAAATACAGATCCAGAAATGTCTTCACCACTTCTGCAATTACTTAATAGTTCACGGGAAAGAAAGCCACACGAGATAGCTTAGCAAATTCAAGATATTTAAGAGCAGTGGGCTGTTAACCTCATCACAATTCTAATATTTAGCACTCAATGACCAAAGATATGTGACATTTAAGAATGAGATTTTTTTTTTATCAACACTGTATCAAATATTAAATAAAAGCTTTTGTGCATTCCTATACTATGAATATCTCACAAGGGATATACTCCCTCCATCCCATTTTATGTGTCTAGTCCGGTTAATGAGGCTTGACTGAAGTTATTTTTAATTCAATTTTTCATAATATTAAGTTTAGTATTAGTATACAAAATTTATATATTTAGAAACTACTCTAAAAGTACTATTAAACACAAAAAAAATAAATTTAAAAATAAGTAAAAGATTCTAAAGAAAATAAACAAAGAAGAAAGAGTTAGTTTGACCAATGAATAGTAAGTATGACAGATAAAATGGGACAGAGGGAGTAGTATTCATCTGATCTTTGTGGACTAGTCGATGCAGGCATACCTGGCTGGGTATGACATGGTGAGTTCTAAATGGCCGAACCACAAGATCATCCCGCAATTCATATGTGTCACCTGAGTGGAGTTGTAAATGATATTTAAGACTATAGCAAAGAAGAATTTTGAAAGGCATTTAAGCAAGACGAAGGTGGTACCTATTTCCAAAGCAACCAAATCCAGGCTAAGTTCTACTTGACTCATGGATCTGTGAATGTCGAGTAACTTCTGTACATCATCTTTTATGCAAGGAGGAACAAATACAGTTGGAGGTTTCAAGTTATATAAGCCACGAGTAGCTAAATACATAGGAAGTCCACCCTGAAATGGTATAAAGAGCTAACTTTAACTTCCATTTTTTATGAGCATATCAAGAAAACTGAAATGAAAACATTGCAATCTTGCTAGATTAAGGGCATTGATAAAAATGAATTGGCAATTCTAGAATTAGAAATAAAGAGAATTCCTGAAAAGGCTTACAATGTGATCAAGATGAGCGTGAGTGATGAACAAGAAATTCTGCTGAACAGCCTTGGGGGGACACCTCCCAATGTCGAAGGCGCACTTCAGCTGAGGCACAACAACACAAGTCTCGTGGCCGCCAACGGACATCCCTTCAAACGAATATCCCTCAACGTCAATTCCTTTCCGGTTCACCTCGGCCCGAGCTTTCCGGTACTCTTCTTCGTCAATTACCCTCTCAATCGCGGACAAAAATCCCCCGGCGACAGTAGAGGAGGGGCCTTTGACGGCCGCGGGAGGTGAAATTCCGGTGTCGGTATGGAAAGAGAGATTGCGGGTGTGTTTAAGCAGATAGGGTTGCAGTGGATTTTTTATCAAACGGTGGAATGTCGGAAAAGATGGTGCTTTTGAGGTCGCTGTTATGACTACTGATATTTGCATTTTTGTGAAGAAGATAGGTACTCACCGGTGGACCTCGATGGCTGGCTGGTTCCTCACCGGTGGTGCTCAGGCTATTTTCACGGCGACGGAGCAGTAAAGAGCGGTGGCGAAAATTTATAGCGGGGTTGTGGCGGTAGCTTTGGTGTGGAGAATATCAGAATAGAGTGAAGAGATAAGGGGAACAAGTCGAAATGAAGTGCAAGAGCGAAGGGGTAACGGAATGTAGTGGTATTTTTTTATTTTATTTTTTTGGTAGTATTTACTCTGTTACAGTGTAATATCTATAAAGATTTTCTCAATTTATTAAAGTACAAAAAGTTAATACCCGACTGGGGTTTGAATTGTGACATCTTATTTAGGAGAGCTAGTTTAAGTATTAAAATTTAACAACAATGATCCTTTTAGAGGACCTGGTTAAATTTTTAAAATTGAAGGACTATTGATAGTTAATTTGGACCAGAAATGATAAATTTAAAAGTTTAAGATTAAATATACCAAACTCATTCTATTCGATTATTCGAAAGCCCCATATGACATTAACTCAATATAACAACTGTAATAACATACCATTGCAAAACCGACTAAGCATACTAAAAGAGCATTTGCTACAAATAGTACAACTAATAATGAAAATGATGTCTGGCACGAGCTTAGCTTACTTGTTCAATAGGTCGTATTTGAAAGAAGATATTAATGTTCGAATTTCGACAGCGATAGTGTGAAGATTATGCCCAAAGTATACAGATCATTTGTGCGCATCGACATTAAGTCTTGTTTATTGAGCCTTTGAGTCACCGTGATTTATATCCTTCTAAATATTATGTCAGATCGAAGTGTGGGAACCTTGAGGTTAGAGATTTAACCTCGTAGGAAAAGAATACAGATCATTTGTGCGCACCGGCATTAAGTCTTGTTTATTGAGCCTTTGAGTCACCGTGAGTTATATCCTTCTAAATATTATGTTAGATCAAAGTGTGGGAACCTTGAGGTTAGAGATTTAACCTCGTAGGAAAAGAATAATGAAAATGGTGTTCGTTTGCAGAAGGATACTGATGAAATAAGGAGAACATATGGAAAGAGATATTGATGAAATAAGAAAAATGTTACATTGTAGTATCTGTTTATATAGTTTCTCAACCTACTGAAACACAAAAAACCAATAACGCCTCAATTGAGGCTCGAACTCATAACCTTCCAAATGAAAGTTCAACTCGGGTACCATTAGACCACATAATCTTGGTCACCAAGTCCTAGCTTAATTGCATGAACAAATAAAAAATGTGGGCATGCCAGCATGATATAAAAAATAAATTATTTAGAGTGGCGTCTATCTTGCAAGTTGCAAGATTCACATTTGGAAGAAAAAGGCAAGAAAAAGAAAATCGTTACGGGAAACAACAGTAGACAGCAAATTCTAACAAGGTCCATGTAGTAGACTCTCTCATCTTCCCCGCGACCTTCTAATTAACTTTATCTCATCTTTGTTTTTCTTCTCAGTCTCTCACATATTTGTTTTATCGAATGTATTCTTAGAATTTTATCGACCATGGATCAATGGACATATAGAAGCAATCAGAGTTCAATAACTGTGTGGATTGTTCAATTTCGTTTAATACGTATAGTAATTTTATTACACTATCACTAAAGTATCATTTTAATTCAATTACAATTTCTCTTGAATATATACACTCAATATTTTCATTTAAAAAAACTAAGAACATGACAAACATAAAATTAGTTGAACGTAATGATTATTGTTTCTTTTCATTAAAAAAACGTCGTCGTTGTTAAAAACCTATTTAATAATGTAGGTCATTAAAAATCTAACATCACAATTTTAATACAATCTCTAGAATCAAATAGAAACCAACCAATAACCACAAATCCTTAATTCACATGCTCATCTATGTAGTGGACCAATGTAGGGTGGCCATGACTTCGTTTAATGCTCATTAAGTTACGTATCTAGACTCTTTAATTCACATGCTCATACTTTAGCTTCTTTAACTTTTACATAGGACCAGTTTATGTCCTAACTCTATTGCAGCTTTGATTCATTAATACAATCATTGATTGGTTGGCTTTAAAAAAAAAAATGAAAACCAACCAATAACCACAAATCCTTAGTTCAACCAAAACATCATAACAATTAACAATGCAAACAGAACAGCATTAACAATGAAAACATAATAGATTTTAATTTGTTAAGCAGCATAAAGATCAAATTAATCCCATTTCTTAACCGGGAAAGGGTCAAAACTTCATCCACATGCCCAAGGAATTCATGTAACTCTAGAATCTGGAATATACTTTTTGGTGAGGATGACACAAACTAATTCTGATGATCTATCTTTTTATTATCAAAACCAAGAAAAGCTAATCTAGATAAATGACTGAGTGAGAAGTACAAACAAGAAGGTTTAACATCCTGACTATTCAGATTCTTAGGAGCGTCATCAGCAACCACCATTCAGAAATAAATAACAAGGTACAACAACAAAAGCACAAAATGCAAATATTTTTTTCCAGAGAATGCTAACAAAATAAGATGAAATTGAAGGTCAATCTCAAACAGATAGAAAAATGGAAAGTTTGTTATGGAATGAATCTGTATATAACAATATGCTCATGCAACTTATCAGATGTAAGGGATAATGGAAACAGTAACTCTGCACAAAGAGTTGCCAACAAAGCTGCAACTTATTATAACCAAAATACACTTACCTTCCCAGGGTACCGTGCACTGATATAAGGTAGCTTATGATTATGAACAACAATTCTCCACAATCCCATACCACTACCGAGTCACTTAAATTAAGGAAAAATTCATTCTTCGAATCAGTGTTTTAATTCCATAACAGTCTTGATCTTGGGAGCATAGAGACCATAGACGAGGGCCTGACGTTTGGCAATCTCGAGCTGTGCCTTTCCATCGGAGAGAGCGGCGGCAACCAGAGACGAGTCTGAGAGGGCCTTGTTCTGCCAGAAGGCATCGATGGTGTATTCTCGTATGTTGTAGTCTGGGAAGTCACGGACAGTTCTCAGCAGTGACCGAAACAACGAGAGAACTTGAAGGCGTGAAGGCAACACCATTTTTGGTTATTTCTTCAGATTTCGGAGAGAGATGTCCGCGCGAACTTAGTTCAGTAGGCAGTATTTGAGACAAGAGACAGGTTTGAAACTCGGCAATTACAGTGGGGATGATGCTCAAAATGGGTATATCCCTTGTGATCAGAAGATTTGGTTTATTTATAAGCTGTGAAATTTCACCAGCAATGGAAGATTGCCCAAATGCGTAAATTCACTGCAGGCACAAGAGTCTCAAAGGCTTAACCTGAAAACAGAAATACAACTGGTTAAAATCTACCTTAATGCTGATTTAGATAAACATATCATTTACACAATTGAGGTTGTTTACTTCTATAGTCTATACTATGATATAAACAATCAAAGTAGTAAACAATGGTCCTGGTGAGAAAAACCAAAGCTGGGTGTCTAAAGAACATTCTTGGATGATATTTTCTAACATCTTCATTTCACCAAAATACAACCCATCGTCAACCGGGATGTGTCTCAACCAAGGTTGCAAAAAACATTAGGCGCCCCCTAGGTCGGCGCCTAGCGCTTAGGCGCCACCAATTTAATTTTTTTTTTTTTAATTTTTTTTTAATTAGACTAAAAATTTTTAAAATTCATGAATAAAACATAAAGTTTCCATAGTTTTTTCTTATAAACAATTTATTTAAGTGGCTATGAAATTGTTTAAAATATTGTTGAAACCATCTAAATACATAAAAAAAATAAAAAAATAAAAAAATAAAAAAAACACTAAAATTAAGAGCAAAGGAAGCATTTTTTTGAGAAATTGGTGAGGCACACCGCCTACGACGGTTTGTTTCACATAGATCTCGAAAAAATACGCGATTTGAATTTTTTTTTTGTCCAAAACAGATAACCGAGTCAAAAGTTATGCCTTGCCAAAGTTTCTACACTTTTCAACAACCCTAAAAAAAATAATAAATAAATAAAAATAAAAATTAAATAATCGGGCGGTCTAGGCGACCGCCTAGCCACCCGGCCTCGGAGGAGGCTGATTCCGGCCTTCCTCGCCGCGACCGGGCGGCGCCTAGGCGCGATTTTTGCAACATTGGTCTCAACTCAACTTACTGTCTAGTGGGGACCATCTCTGAAAACATTTCTGTTTTCTGTTCTCCAATTCTCCAATTTTCTGGAAAACTAGAGAAATTTTCCAGTTAGTAAACGGGCAATTTTTTGTGTCCGACAAGGAAGCCAAATGAGAGTTTGCCTTTACCCTCTCTACCTAGCATCCTGTAATTTATGGTATAACTGAACAGTGTGCAATTTGGTAATGTGTAAGCATGATTTGGGTAACTTTACCTGATCCGAGATTAACATCTTTCCCCACCCACTCTTCCAAAAGAAACAATACAAATAAATAAATAACACAAGTCTGAAACTCCTCCTCCATCTCTGACCTCAACAAATTCTTGCCATAAAAACCGGTCAAACTACCATCATTTGCAAATGAAAACAAGTTCCAGACAGAGAAGGGGTTCATTGTTTCCTCAGTAGTTTCACCTCACCAGTAGTCCCCACATGAACATAAGCCATCCTTAAAATGGTGGAATCTCTTGGAGTCTCTCACAACAATTTCCCGATCAACAATCTTTGTTGTCAGCTTAATTGTTGTGTGGCAGTCACTACATATCCTAAGATTCTTAATGACATGGATTGTTGCACCAGCGACGGAATTCATAATCCCAAAAGCCACAGCCAACTTCTCGCTATGAACTTGTAACACCATCCCTTTCTCCTCCTCATCAACATCGTGAAGAACTGAAGTCATGTTTGGCGTGTAGCCAAGTGCTTGCAACTTTATAGACAATTCTTCTAAATACGCATAAATCTTCTCATGTTGAGGATGTTCCCTATCTCCGACCAGAAATACATGAACTAAGCCTTTGAGTTCGACCAGACTAAACCCTGGAGTTTTGGTTAACCCGTGATTTTTCATAAGCATTCTCATCCTTTCTGCATCTCTCCATCTTCCAGCATCAGCATATATATTTGAAAGCAAGACATAATATCCACAGTTGTTCGGGTCTAATTCAAACAATTTATTAGCACAAATTTCCGCAAGCTCTACATTTTTTTGCATTCTACATGCAGAAAGGAGAGAACCCCAAACCACAAAATCTGGTGCCACCTTCATTTCATTGATTAGATCATAAGCTTTGGTGAGAAAACCAGCACGCCCAAGTAGATCGACCATGCAACTATAATGCTCCAGCCCAGGCTGTATATGGAATCTGTGCTCCATGGCTCTAAACCAATACCATCCTTCGTCCACCAAGCCAGCATGGCCACAAGCAGCTAAGACTGAAACAAACGTTATGTAATTTGGAGCCACACCATTACGGTTCATCTCGTAGAAGACTTCAAGAGCTTCCTTGGCCCGCCCATGCATTCCATAACCAGCAATCATGGCGGACCATGACTTTACATTCTTTTCTTTCATACGATTGAATGCCTTCCTAGCCATCTCTAATCTCCCACATTTGCAGTACATGTCAATGATTGAGGTGCCAACATATACATTATCTTCGAGGCTCATTTTTATGACCTAAGGATAACAAAGTCAACAAGAAATTAGGAATGCATAGAGAGTTTGAAACTATTATAGAGAGGAACTAAAGAATATAATGAAGTGATTAATTGCGTGGTTCAGAACAAAAAAAAAAAATCAATAAGTACCTGATCATGTATGCACTTCCCAGCATGAAGAGCTCCAGCATGTGCACATGCCAACAGTAGGGTGGACAATGTGACAGCATTGTATTTAACTTCTTTATCTTTCACCAATAAATGAAACATTTCTATTGCTTCAGAGGAAAGCCCATTTTGAGCATAAACTGCAATAATCGAGTTCCAAGATATGACATCCTTCTCAGCCATCTCCTCAAACACCTTACTAGACAAGCCTACCTCGCTACACTTTGCATAAGCATCAATCAGTGTATTCCCTACACCCAAATGCTCATCAAGTCCCCTTTTTATTGCAAAACCATGAACCCCCTGTGTCATAGTTTTCCCCGAAACCCGAGAACAAGCAGATAGAACAGACACCAATGCCACTGCATCAACATACACTTCCTCCTCCTCTAAGCTCTCGCTCTCTTCAACCAAAAGTTCTTTGAAGAGCAAGAGAGCATCACAGGCGTGGTCACTTTGTATATACCCAGTAATCATAGCCGTCCAAGAAACCACATTTCGTTGGGGAATTTCGTCGAACAGTAATCTCGCATCTTTGAGCTTACCACACTTGGAGTACATATCAATCAGCGATGACGACGCGAAAAGGTCAGACCCATACCCGAAGATCACAACTTGCTGGTGGACCTGCCTGCCAGAAGTGAGATCACGAAGGGCAGAACACGATTTGATGGCGCATGGGAATGATGAACGATTTGGTCTAAGAGAGAGCTTCCGCATAGAAGCGAAAGCCCGAAGCGCCTCGACTGAGTCTCCGCTCCTAGCCAACTCGGCAATGATAGAGTTCCAAGAGAAGACATTGTTCTTGTCCACATATTTGCTGAAAAATGTAGCAATATTTGCATTTGTGGAATAATGGTGTCTACACAACCATAGAGAGTAAAACCTCATGAAATCTGAAATTGAGTTTGATATCTTCATCATCATCATGTAAAACGATTCCCATATCCCTTCCTTTTCATTACGTAAAGGGCGGAGAAATCATCATTTGCCAGTCATCAGTTTGCCTCTCGTTTGGTTGGAATTTGAATAAGGTGTCCTTATATAGAAGAAAGGGTAATACTATAAAATTACTAAAGCAGAGTTGCGTTGGGTTAATGTAGAATTGATCATCCCACTTATACCAAATTTGACAAAAATATAAGTTCATTTTTTAAAAATAATTTTCAAATGCAACTGTTCTATTTAGTGTTAAAAATGAATTTCAAGATTTCTATTTAGTGTTAAAAATGATTTTCAATTTTAAGTGTTCTATTTAGTATTAAAACTGATTTTTGAGTGCAAGTGTTCTTTTTAGTGTTTAAAGATAATTTTCAAGTGTTCTTTTTAGTGTTAAAAATGATTTTCAAGTGCAAGTGTTCTATTTAGGGTGCTTTTGGAAATTTGGAAAATGTTTTCCGAAATTTTAGTGTTTGGCAAGAGGTTGGGAAATGGGGTCAATGGAAACTAATTATTTATTCAAAGAAAAATATGTATGTTTTGGGGAAAAATAATTTCCCCTTTTTTTGTTGGGGAAGTCATTTTCCCAGATGCACATGTAAAAATTTTGGGACCTAATTTTTTGCAGGCTTTTGCGACTCGGCCTACCAAACTCGCAAGCTAGGGTTCATGTAACCAAAGTCCGCCCCATGCGGGTTGACAGGTCTCGTGGGCCGGTCCGCGAGCTTTTTTTGTTTTGTTTTTTTTTTTTTTTTTTTTGGTTTTAATTCAAAGGTTTTTAAAAAATAGTCTACAAATAATATTAATTTTTTTGTATTTAAAAATTTAAAAAGTTACAATTTTTCAAATGTTAATATTATATATATATATATATATATATATATATATATATATATATATATATTAAAAGAGTGCTATTCGCAAAAAGGATTTTTATCAAAAGCATTAAACAATTAAAATTTTAAACTATTCAATTCTTTTCATTTTCCTACTCTTTTTCTAGAAAATGAACCAAACACACAAAAGACAGTTTTTCGTTGTGTAGCCAAACACCAGAAAGGAAAATATTTTCTGAAAAATGACTCATTTTACAGAAAACATTTTCCAGAAGTCATTTTACTGCTTTCCAAACGGAGCCTTAGTGTTAAAAAGAATTTGAAAGTGTTATTGCTAGTGTTAAAAATGATTTTCAAGTGCAATTGTTCTATTTAGTGTTAAAAATGGTTTACAAGTGTTTTTTTAGTGTTAAAAATGATTTTCAAGTGTTCTTTTTAGTGTTAAAAATGATTTTCAAGTGTTCTTTTTAGTGTTAAAATGATTTTCGAGTGTTATTTTTATTGTTAAAAATATTTTTTGATAGTTAATTTTAATGCTAAAAATGATTTTCACTTGTTCTATTTAGTGTTAAAATGATTTTCAACTGTTCTATTTAGTGTTAAAAGTGATTTTTAAGTGTTGCTTTAGTGTTAAAAATGATGTTCAAATGTTATTTTTAGTGTTAAAAATGATGTTCAAATGTTATTTTTAGTGTTATAAATGATTTTCTAGTGTTCTATTTAGTGTTAACAATGATTTTAAGTGTTCTAATTAGTGTTTAAAAGGATTTTCAAGTGTTATATTTAGTGTTAAAAATGATTTTCAAGTGTTCTATTTTGTATGAAAAATAAATTTTAAGTGTTCTATTTAGTGTTTAAAACTTTAAAATGGTTTTCAAGAGTTCTAATTAGTGTTTAAAATGATTTTGAAGTGTTTTATTTCAATCATTAATGGTCCACACAAGTTGTATGAACCATATTTTGTCTACTGTAAAATAATATACATTCAGTACTAAAGTATATTCAGTACAAAAATAATGTACATTGTATTCAGGGGATGTACATTATTTTTGTTCTGAGTATACATTATATTATATGATGTACACTCGGTACAAAAATAATGTACATTTAATATATTAAAAATGTACTTTTTGTTATGGTCCACGTAACATTGTGTGGACCATGGTCCACATAATAATTTGCCGTTTTATTTAGTGCTAAAAATGTTTTTTAAGCGTTCTATTTAGTTCTTAAAATTATTTTTAAGTGTTATTTTTAGTTTTTAAAATGATATTTAATTATTTTTTTTAAAGTTTTTGAAATGATTTCTAAGTGTTTTTTTTTTTTTTTAAATAAAAATAAAAAAAGTTTGAAATGATTTTCATGTGTTGTTTTAGTTTTTAAAATGGTTTCAGAGTTATTTAAATGTTGAGCCACCATCCCGTTTTTACTGAGCTATAGAATACTTGTAACCGAGCAATTAGCAAGTCAAAAACAGGGCCTTTTGGAAAACCAATAACCAAAAGCTCCGGGAGAGAGAGAGATGTGGGAATCAATCTGCCTGACCGTCGCCGCCACCGCCGGCAACAACATCGGCAAAGTCCTCCAGAAGAAGGGCACTATCATTCTTCCCCCTCTCTCTTTCAAGCTCAAGGTACGTGCTTCTCTCTTTGGGCGTATATAATAGAAATTCTTTTATTCTATTTATTTCTATGATTGGGATCCATTTACATTAATTAATCCGCGTCTTTCTCAATTTATACATGCATAGCATTCTATTTTTTTGTTTGTTTGTTTGTTTGTTCTTTCTTGAAATTATAAAACGTTTTTTATTTTCTATCTTGCACGAAAACTGTTCGTGAGAATTTCAGTTGTGCCTTGTGGTCACTTAATTCTAGATTAGGTTTTCCGTCATCGATCAACCTAACTACATCAAGAATGATTGTGGTTTGATTGACATATCTGTATGATTAAATCTCATGCTTAATTGTCTTCATATGTGCGAAAGATAAGCAGTTGTGTAAATTTCAAGGAATTAATGAGCGATTGAGCTCTATAAAGCATTTCTGCTGCTTGAGACTTCTCTTCAATTATAGATTCCATGCTTTTTATCAGAGTTTGGCGGTTTAAGTATGCAAAGTCAAAAACACTAGAAATTTTTTGTACCCATATAGTTGTTTCCTTTTGAATGGTTCCAAAAACCCAAACTACCTGGAAAAATTCAGAAAAAAAGCCAATTAATACTTGTACATTTCTGGCTCACACACACACACATAAACAGTTTTAGCTAGGTCCATATTAACATTGAATAGTTATAATTCCAAAGTAAAACAAAAGAACTAAAAAAGAAAAAGAAAAAGAGCTGTTTTCTTCATGACTTGCACATTTCAAATGCTTCCCTGGATTTTTATTTATTATTATTATTATTATTATTTTTTTTTTTTCCATTATGATATTGTAGCTAAGTTAGTTAAAGTGTATAAGGGAGGTTTTGCATTCATGTATTATAGAACAGTCATCTATGAGTTTTCAACTTCAAATTATGGAGTAATTAATTCCATAGTAGTATATTGATCTTGTTTGGCAAAACTTATGAATATGAATTGTGATTATGGATTGCCAAGTTACTTTTTATTTGCTTAAATAAGCTAAAACGTATGATAATAGATTTTGTAATCTATTATCCCAACAATCAAACCACATACCATTTTACCTGCATACACCATTAGTGTTCTTGATTATATTAACCCAGCCTAATGGCCCTAATTAATCTTTTGGCCAACAAGTTTGCAGGTGATAAAAGCATATGCTTTTAACAAAGCTTGGGTCATAGGTTTCCTAATGGACTTGTTTGGAGCTGCTTTAATGTTGCGAGCATTATCCCTTGCCCCTGTAAGTGCATTATTGGACTTCGGATTGGTTTCATGGTTCATTAATTAAAATTCTCCTACCAATCAAATTTCACTGGTATGATGAAAAATTCTGTCTTGAGTAATGGATAATTAGAAAAATGGCAATGACATTATCTTTGATGCTCATTGGATGCTGATTCATCATTTCACATCTTATGATCTCAATTATCCATTTCAGGTTTCTGTTGTTCAGCCTGTTTCAGGCTGTGGACTTGCCATCCTTTCAGTCTTCTCCCATTTTTATCTCAAGGAGATTATGAATGCTATTGACTGGTTGGGAATTGCTTTGGCTGGCATTGGCACCATAGGTAATGTAAGGTTTTTTCCCCCCCTCTTTTAAGCCATGAAATGTATTAATCAGAATTCAGAAAAACATGCAGCAACTTGATTCATGCAAAAGAGTATCTCCTTGAGTACTTACATCATTCTATATATGTACAATTGTACATACACAAACACACACATACATACAGGTGTTGGTGCTGGAGGGGAGGAGCAAAAAGCTTCATCAGTTTCAATTTTTCATTTACCGTGGCTGGCATTTGCAGTTGCAATCTTGTTTGTAGGTACCTTAATCTATATGCACTATAAAGTATGTGTATTGATGCATGATAAGCTTTCCAGAATATAATTTGTGAACTTTTGTTTTCTATAGAAATGCTACTCGTCAATGAATGTTTGAAGCAATAGTACTTTCTTATGGAGTTTTTAATTCCTTTCCATAAAATGTTATGAGTTAAGGTCAGATTTGGTTTAGTGCCAAACTGCTCTTTGTTGACTTGTTTGGTTATAGGTTCAAGCCTTGAAAGCTACCTCTCTAAAAACAGAGGTAAGGTTGTGCATTCATTCCTTCCACAAAGCCCTTCATAATGTGGGAGCTTATTGGAAATATTCCGTATTTATTAACATAAAAGTTAAACCAGTCACCTAAATATTATATGGTATTCTGAATCTGGATATCATAGCTTCTGTGAATGTCCCTGACCAAAATAATGTCAAAAGCTAAAGTATGTGCTGCAGCTCAACATTTGTATGCATTCTAGGGCTACTATTTTATTGCATGGCTTGCATAAATTTAAGCCAAAATAAAGGAATATCTGAACTCTGAAGAGTAACATCCCTTACAATACGATCAAATTGACAAAGAGAATTAATGAACTATGATGTGTGTTATGGTTTTAATTTTATATCAGAAAATACCCCAAGGGATTAGGCCCTCCCCGCCTAAACATAATTGTATAAAAAAGGCACATTTTTATAATTGAACCTTGTTAAATGGTTTTGTAAAAGTGAAACCGTAACCACCTAAGAAGTTAAACTATGCAGTTCAGTATTACTGGATTGGATGATTTTGTGGGTGGTTTAAGGCTTAGGAGTAATATAATACATTTCTAAAAATTATAAAGTAAACGGCTTTTCATAATAACATTTTATAATCTGGACAATAATTATCTAATTGTTTCTAGTTGAATGCAAACTAAATTTGTTCATGATTCTCAATCTTAGTTTGGAGAATTTTACTTAATTTCTTACAGTAATATTTATAATTATGAAGGAATACAATTGCAAAAATTTATTTAAATTTTACTTTGAAAATAAAAATATTACATAATTTAACATCAAAATGATGCATCATATTTATTTGCATTTATAGAAGTAATACATGTATATGCATTTGTGTGTGTGTGCGCACGTGTGTGGCAATTTGGTTGTTTAATTTATTAAAACATAACTACTTAACCTCTAGGGGTCTTCGAAAAACTAGTATTGAAACCACTAATTTCTCATTTGGTTAAATACAGTTTAGGTGGTTTGAACTGTTTGTGAAGTTATTTTTGACACCCTTAGGCCTTACTTAGTAGTGGTTTTGATAATATTTTTTTGGCAATACCTAATTATTTTTTAAAAAAATCTCAAAATAGGTTGTTTTTTTTGGAAAGCTTTTCAGGTTGCAAATCACAAAATGTGGGAAAAAAAGACTAACCTAATGTCACTATTGTTTGCTACAATCCCATTTTCATGACCCTAAAAACTTGAAAAGCTGATGTTGATCGAAGTTTTAAAAATGGTCAAAGTTGAGAACCTTTTTAAATTTGTTTTATTTGACATATCTCCAGAAGTTATCCTTAGATAGTAGCCATATATTGAAGAGTATAATGAAGAAGTTAATGATTGGCAATGAAATATTTCAATAACTTATGTCATAAAAGCATGGATGCAGGGATTGGGCACATGGATAAGCTATCAAACTTTAATTACTTGTTCTGCCAACATTCTTAAATACCCTCTTCTTGAGCTTATAAATCATTGAAATAACTAAGATGAGTTCTGATCTGTAGCAACACTATCAATTTTAAATTCTTTGGTTTATCATAAAAGAGTTTCACTTTCTGTTGCAATTATTGGGATTATGGGTGTCTTTGGTAGTTTGGTGAATAATTTCTGCTTATGGTCAGTCAACCAAGTTGAAATGAATTTGACTTTCTGTGCAATTATTGGGCTTATGAGTGTCATTGGTGAATGATTTCTGCTTATGGTCAGTCAACCGAGCTGTTTGTGCCTATTTATGTACAAGTATTTCTGATCTCAAATGTCTTTCTTGAATATAGGTACTCCTTAATGGTTGCCTTCGCATATATAAGCGCCAGAGAAGAGAACAAGAATTGGTACAGCTTTTCTTTTCCACTGATACTAAGGGACTTGTGAATTTTCCTGATGTTTAATTGATAATATTTTACTACCATGCAGATGCAATATGAAGTACTTGAAGAAATAATTTGCGGTTTGGGATCTGGCGTACTGTTCGGGTAATTTTCATTATCTTTTGATTCAGTACTATTTTTGCTTTTGTTATAGTGGTTCATGGGAGCAGACTATTGCTTACAGTTTAGGGATCAATTTTTTTGTATAAACTGGATGCATCTGGTTCCATGTTGGGATCAGAAACATCTCATGAAAAGGTTGATGTTTCCATTCTGAACATAAAATGCTAAATCTAGAGCAAGTATAGCATGCACGTAATGCATTTACTCAACGTCTTTAGTACCTATCAAACTTTAAAACAAACTGTTAGAAGCTATAAATATTTCACAAGTAACATTGTAAATAAAATATGAGAGCAATTGAAGAGAAGATAATATAAAACTATATAGAGTATATTGCCATGGTAATAAGATTAGAGTAAGCCTAATATTTATAGGTTTATTTGTAACACTCTCCCTTAAGCTAAAACATATAGATGTTCAAAGCTTGCAAGTTAATATAACTATAACAAAAAAATCAAAACTCCCCCTTGAAACTTGGAAATTAATTACATCATTGTTGGAATCAAATGGTATCTTGAAATAAACACTGCAAGATCTGAAATGAAATTATTGTTTGGACTTATAGAAAGGGAGATTTGAGTGAAAAAACCAATGGAACACCACCTCTTGGTTTAGTGGCACTTGGTGAGCTAAACTATAGGTTTTATGGGTTTATAGCTCTAATACCATGATGCCATATTGAAATTAAGGGTTTAAAAAAAGTTAGGATTTGAAGGTCTTACAGAAACTAAAATATGAGAGCAAGTGAAGAGAGGTTCCATATCTATATGATGAAAAGTTACAAAGGAGCCTAATAATTAGATAAACTGAGTCTCCTAGATAAGCTAAAGGTCTTCAGAGTCTCACATTTATCACATGTTTATTTTCAACAAAACAATTTCCATATTTATTTTTAATAGTCAGTGGACTTGCATTGCCAATTAAGCATTTCAGTTGAATTTGTGTCAACCTATCAATGCAGGATGGCATCTGTTATATCAAAGCTAGGCTTTATATTCTTGGAGCAAGGCTTCTCAAAGCTGCTGGTGCCCGTTTGCATCTCCATCAGCGTATGCTGCAGTGCTTCTGGATTCATTTATCAGGTATTTTGAACATCAGACATGCTCTTTCAGTAATATTAACATTGCACCATAAACTCTGATTTGGTTTCCTCGTATTTTATTGTTAGGGAGATTGTGTAGTTTTCTCCTGCAATTCATAATATAGACCCTATACCTAATAGTATAACCATTTACTTCTCTTAAAAGGTTTAACTTTTCTTCTAATCAGACACGCGGATTGAAGCATGGGAGAGCAATTGTAGTTTCCACATGTGCTGCTGTTGCATCAATTGTTACTGGAGTACTCGCCGGTATGCTTGCTTTGGGTGAACGGCTGCCTTCCGCACCAACAGCCCGTCTCGTCCTTTTGCTTGGATGGTATTTATAATTTCTTATGTCTTATAGCATTTGTTTCCTATCGAAGGCTCAATTTTAGCCTATAAACTAACTAGACATCAATTCTATCACAAATATCAGCTTTAGATCTTTCTGTACAGGCTCTGTATTATAATTGGCGTAATGCTGCTGGTAACTTCAACGCGGCTACTACGTTGCCTGCCACGACCTTTGAGACGCGTTCTCCAAACTGGCGCAGACAGAAACCCGGGGCAGAGACAATCAAGTATAGCTCGCAACAGAGATTCAAGCACTACTGTAATCCAAGCGGCTACGTTGCATCACTTGATATCGTCTCTACCCAAAGAAAAGGCTTGACCTCTACTACTAACCCTCAACTTTTTGCCGAGGTTGTTCAAGCAAATTGAAACTGTTGCTGAATTGCATTTGGTCCAATACATCAGCCATACAACAGATAGACTCCTAAGTAAAAGTTTAGTTTTACTTTGACCAGAGGGTTTCAACTGTATTTTTATTGGAATCCATTTTTTCAGGTGTAAGTAAACCTTGCCTTTGACCTTAGTACTGGTTGCCAATAGTTGATCGACTCAAACCAAGGGGGCAAGGATTCAAACTCGTGACCTTGTGGTTACAAATGTGGATCTCTTACCATCTTGGTTGGGGTTATCTCTGACGCAGATTAATTTGCTTTTGGGTGTAAAAGACTTGAGAGATGGTTGATATGAATGGATTGTATTGTATTGTAGATGAGCTGCAGGAAAGAAAAAAAAAAAGGAAAAAAAGTCCTTTTTTATATGGTTTCTTCTTTAGTACAGTTTTAAAGTGATCTTCACATGCCATTACAAGCCACAGTTTTATATCACGTTACCTGTCCGTATTCCTCCATGACAAAACCCATAAATAAGGAGCAAGTAGTGAAGGGTATAACATTTTATACTGAATATCTTGAACCTTTACTACTATACTATTCACGACTGTGTATCTGGACCACTGGACCTTACTGAACAAGAATATCACCCTTTTCTATTTGGAGCACACTGTCCAAAAACATCACACCAGGCCACTAGGGCGATCTTAAGGCTATCCACATTAGTGGATTTTGGATTAGTTTTTGAGGAAAAGTGGGTGAGGTGGAGGAGAGAAGGTGAGGTGAGACAGTAAATTGAAGGTTTTGGTCGGAAGGTGGGTCCCATATAAATTATTGTTCCACGCTGTTGCTGTGCGTTGGGTGCAAGTTACGCCTATCTCTCCTATTTTTGTTAAAAGCGTTCAAGGCACTGAATATAGGCGCGTGAGCAATTTTTTTTTTTTTTTTTTTTTTGTTTTGTTTCAGATTTTGTTTTCTTTTATTTTTTTTTCTTTTCCCTCTTCCACTATTTTCTCTTTCCTAATCACACCTGTAAAAACTCTTCAAAAATCTACCACTATTGAGGATGCCCTAATAGAGTTAACACACTCCCATGATGTGCAATAATTATATTGTACATCAAGGTCTACCTTGCAAGGCATGGTATGAACATGTAACATAATGAATGTTGTATACACCAAAAAAAAAAAAAACATAATGAATGTTGTAGTGTCTAATTTATGAACATTAAACTTTGAGTTTATGAACGTACAATGTCTAGTTTTTAAACATTAAGCTAAATTTTGAGTTTCTAGACAAAAACGACTTTATTTTGAACTATATATGATCCACTTTACAAAGTGAACCCTAGTCCACAATATAATTTGTGGATGATGTGTTTGGTAGAGGAATCTTAGAACAGGGTATAGGCACAAGAGCATAGAGTTTAAAGAATAAAATCAAATGCTCCCTAGAAAGATATTTATGGGCGTGATTCATGCCCCATACTCCTAGAACAAAAAGGAGTTCCGAGAATTCATAAAAGAATTCCAAAAATGTAAAATAATTTTGCAAGTGATTCTCAAAATAAAGTATTGTTTGTCAGGTTGACTCCCTAATTGGAGTAAAAAGAAACAAAAAATACATTTTTTTTTTGTCCTGTGAAACTTGCTCGACTAGTAACTTTGCACCCAACTTGAAAATCATTGTGCATGACACAACCTAAAAACGTTCATACTTAAAATATAAATGTTGTTGGGAACTTTTGATTTCACATGAGAATGATACACTGAATTACTAAAACATGTCAAGGATGTCTAAAAACTGCCGGGAGTTAATTTCACTAGAGGTTCACTGTCTTTGGTGACAATTTCAAATTTAGTCACAAACTATCGTTTTTGTCATTTAACATCTCAAACTATTATTTTTTGGACACTTTTAGTCAATCTCATGACTTTTCTTATTTTTAGTAAGGGCATTTTTGTCTCTTCATATTTTTCTTTTGTTATTTCTCCTATTTCAGCCAGTTTAGGACTTTACTAAAAACTAATTGAAAAATATGATTACTAAATGTGTCCAAAAAATAATAGTCTGGGATGTTAAATGGTAAAAACGATAATCTGAAACTAAATTTAGAATTGTCACCAAAGACAAGAGATCTCTAGTGGAATTAACGGATTTGGATCATTCATTTGCCATTAAATATTTATTTATTCTTGAGTTAAAGAAAATTCACCACACCAATTAAAGAATCCCCTCCAAATTAGATTATCTTTGCATGACGCATATCCTCACCCCCTCCACCCCCCCCCCCACCACCCCCCCTCCAAAAAAAAACCCCCAAAATCATTGGACTAAAAGTCTCCTTTGCAGCTTAGCCACAAGCCACCTTATAATCTCCAAAAGGCTTGAATGCCTTGCTGCCTAGTCAAAAGGTAAAGATATAGGAGTGTTTGGTAAATGAATGTTAGCTGATTGAGATAGTGGATTTGATTAGTTGATAGCATTAATTGATGGGAAAATGACACTTTTTACTCCTGAGTTATATACTTATAGCACTTTTTCCCCCTCAATTATTTAGGTAAGCACATTAGCCCCCTCAATTATTCTAAAAGTGGTGCTTTTTCCCCCTGATATATTAAATTGACATTTATACCCTTAAAGTAAACATTTTATTTATTTTACTACTCCAACAAATTATTGCGTATACGTAGGGATGATCACAGTTCGGTTTGAATTGAACCGGATACTAAAGCAATCGAATTAATAGTTTACGGTTATAATTCAGATCTAGAACTCAATATTTAAATGTCAATTTATTAAAATTATGTATCAAAAAAATTGAATCTTGAACCGTGAACCGGCGGTTCCGGATTTGATTCGCGATTTTGAACCATCTTTATTTAATCTTGTATTTTTTATTTTAAAATAGTCTAAATTCAACAATAAATGTATTTTATTTTTTCAGTTCGGAACATGAACCGTCCGTTCCAGTTCACGATTTTAACAAACTCTAAATATCGAATTTCGATTCTAAATTGTAATTGGAATATTTCGATTTGGTTGCTATAGTGTTTGTTTAGTTTGAACCAAATTATGGTCATAATTTGTTGGAGAAAAAAAATAAATTAAATATTTAGTTTAAGGGTAAATATGTCCAATTAACATTTCAGGGGGAAAAACAGCCACTTCAATCATTTAGGGGGAAAAAATGCTATAGGTATATAACTCAGGGGGAAAAGTGCCATTTTCCCTTAACTGATTATAGAAAAATGTTTGGTAAATTAATTGTTAACTGATTACTTACAAAATGATTTTATCAAAAAATTGATAAAAAAACTATTTTGAGCAGCTTTTTAAATTTTAACATTTTGAAATAATAAGTTGTTACAAAAAACTAATTAAGCAAACAATCATATTGATTGTTTAACCAAATCAAACAACTAATATTGATCAAATAAGCTAAAATTAACTGATAAGCTAATTATATTATCAAACAAGGCTATAATATCATAGTCAAGCCTTATAAATAAAGCAACGAGTATTGAGATAGCTCCTTCAAATTAAGTCCAACAAATGGCTTAATTCAAGATTAGTCAAAGTCTAGTATAAATAGGGTTGCGTTCACATGAGGACAAAAATATATAGAGAACTGTGTGGTGCGATAATGGGCACACGACAAATTAGTATCATGCACATAATTTAATACACAATGACACACTAGTATACATGTAAACATTTCGAACTCATGCTCTATTAATTAACAAACCTATGCACACAACATACAAATTATAGCACACGACTACATCCGGCCATGCATACGACTACATCCGGCCATACACACGACATACAGACTAATGGCACACGACTATATCTGTCATCACAATCCTCTATAGACTATAATATAGTTGTTCTCATTTAAATACACTTCAGTATAAATATTCGACATAGGAGGTCATGGTCCCATGAAACCAAAAATTATTTATATTTTGTCAGTATAGTGGGCAAATTATGTTGTGCATCCGTATGCACCATGCATGGTGCATACGGATGCAAAAACGACGTCGTTTTAATAAAACGCGCGTCTCCCCTAAAAAAAAAAAATCAGGTTCGATTCCCAGCAATAACATATGAACTAAAATTCCATAATCTAGTCTATGAACTAAAAATTCCAGAATGAATGAACTAAAATTCCATAATCTATAAACTAAAATTTCAGAATCGATGAACTACAATTCCATAATCGATGAACTATAATTCCATAACCAATGAACTATAATTCCATAATCTATGAACTAAAATTCCAGAATGAATGAACAATATAATGTTGTTGCTGGGAATCGAACCTGAATTTTTTTTAAAGAGGAGACACGCGTTTTTTAATAAAACGACGTCGTTTTGGCATCCGTATGCACCATGCATGGTGCATACGGATGCACAGCATAACTATCCAGTGAAATGATTGAATTCTCGTGGGCCATTAATCACCATATACGGTTAAAAGAATAAAAGATGAGCCCCTAATTCTATTATAGGCATGTTACATATGTTCTAAACCCATAATACCACCCTCGCCTTATCCAAGGTATAGCTAGAAGCGAAGAAACAACTTTATTTCCTTATAGTTGCGTAGTAGTCGTGTCACTGTCACTGTCACTGTCTGATGAGTGATGACAGAATGTTGGACTCGGCTCACTAAGCCATAACCCAACAAAAAGAGCTAATACCCAAAATGGTCCTCAACTATAATGGTTTTTTCTCAATTTCGTTCTAATCGACTTGGAGACTTTTATGTTTTTGCTCAATTTAGTCATCTGTTTGTTATTCCGTCAAATTGGTGTTAAATAAAGGAACAATTCAGTAATCTCAATATTGGTCTCTCTTTACTCTCAACCTCGAAGTGCGAAACTCTAAAAAAAAAAAAGGAGGAATTCCGCACTTCACAAGTCTAGGAGTGAAGAGATGCCAATATTGAAATTACTGAATTGTCCTATTTAACACCAAATGGACGGAATAAATGGAGGACTAAATTGAGCAAAAACACAAAAATCCGGGACTACATTTAAGTCACCAAAGTCATTTAGGATGAAATTGAGAAAAACCATTATAGGCGAGGACCATTTTGATATTAACTCCAACAAAAAATGTTTCTTGAGATTTAGACTTTGATAATACTCCACCAAAAACTCTAAACAAGTCAAAAGCCACTTATTTGGGCTTTGCCAGCATAGCATATCAGCATATGTCAAGTCTGTCTGATCCAATTTGTAAAGGCTTTATATAATAAATTAATAATCAAAAGATAATATTCAAGAGCAGTAATCTAAGGTAAATGAAGTAGTGTCAATAAGGAATTTGTATTTTGGTAAAAACAAATTCAGCTGTAAGTGTTATTTGAA